CCACTGTGAGGGTGGGGAAAAACAGGATAATTGAAACTACAGCAAATCTGTGCAAAGCAGACGCTCGAAAATTAGTTTAATTGCCGGACAAGAAGCTCGTTCTCCGCCTGGAATGCGTGACAATTACTGACATGCAGAATACCCATAGTCTCCTCATGGCTTTGGGTAAACTATAATAAGATTCCCATATACCATATATTCTATCTAGTTACGGGGTACTATATACCCCAAACCCTAAACCCTAAACCCCAAATAGTTCCATTTTCTTTCCATTATCCAAGGTATACCCCATGTTCTATCTACTTAAGGGGGACTACAAGCACTGAGACCGCTCAGAGGGCATCATACTGATCCTGCCACGGCACTGCTAGCTCGTGCGCCTGCCGAGCATTCAGCCTGGCAAAGATGACGAAGGCGATTCTCCTCCGCAGCTGTAAGCAATAACAAGGACTATGTAGGGCTGGGGTTTAGGGTTTAGGGTTATCTGGGGCTGGCATCTTTGGGGGGGGGTACTATTATGATCTCTTACTTCTGTTTCCTCACGTTCGCGGGTCAAAATGCGCCAAGCTGCTCCCAAAAGCCTCCTCGGGTTGCAAGCCAATCCACCTGGACACGCAAAGCAAGTCAAACTCTATGGCAGCTAAATAGCCTCAAAATATAGACCCTTAATTTGGCAGAATAGCTGCCATGTTTTTCCATAATCCCTACATAAACCCAACCCTTATCTCACCCATATGAAGCCCTATGTAATCCTATATAACCCCTTTATGCCCCCTTACGTAGATATATAGAATATGGCTTTGCGTACAATACGATCCCCATAGACCGCATATTCTATCTACTTAAGGGGGAGTATAACTACCCCTAAACCCTAAACCCTATCTACTTAAGGGGGACTATAAACCCTAAACTCTAAACCCTAAACCCTATCTATTCAAGGGGGACTATACATACCCCTATGTAAACAACAATGAAGTTGCAGCGGCCTCGGCTCCCCCTCCAGCACTGAGGGCTTCCACAATCTCTGGCCAGGACTTCAGGAGGCCCACCTCCGCAGGGTTTAGGGTTTAGGGTTTAGGGATCAGGATTTAGGGTTTAGGGTTTAGGATTTAGGATTTAGGGTTTAGGGTTTAGGGTTTAGAGGCCGCAGGGGCTGCCTCTTGGCCCATATTCGAACAAGTTACTATTGATATTACTACGATTATAACTTTCAGTATTACTGCTAGTATGCCTACTTTTTGTTACGAGTATTACTACAAAAATTACTATCTATTACTACTGGTATTACGCGTATTACTACCAGTACTACTAGTACAGCTATGAAGGCCTTGTTTGTGAAATTTGCGGTCCTCCACAAGAGATTCCTGAGCGGTGGATTTTCTGGCTGGGAGCTGACAGACTGTGCGAAAAGAGCCATGGCATGTCTTCAGCAGACACAAACCCTAAACCCTAAACCCGCTAAACCCCTAAAGCCTAAACCCTACACCCTAAACCCGGAACCCCTAGACCCTAAACCCTGGAACCCCTAAACTCTTAACCCTAAACCCCGGAACCCCTAAACCCTACACCACGACAGTGGTCCATTGAAAGGCATCATCTGCCGGCGTCAGATCGGCGTACGGGGAGTTCACCATGGTCGTCCAAAAGCTCTCCAACCTGCCAAGATCCCGACATTTGAGCTGTAGTCTAAACTCCTCAAAGCGGGGGCTATATAGGATTTTCATGACATTGAACCTGCAGGGTTCAAATGAATGGAAACAAGGAGGTGAGTGTCAGCAAACCCCGCACTTGTCAGCCAGCTGTTTAGGGTTTAGGGCTTGGGGTTAGGATACATCACTGCCTTGTCAGAGGCTACTGCCAGATGCAACCGCGTGCCTCTTCCTTGCAGGGGTCGCACTGTGGTTGTAGACCATCTTGCCTTCTTTAGGCACCCACTGGGCCTCATGCCACTGGGTTGCTGTTAAGGAACTTAAATTAAGTTACCATAATGGATATGTATAGTAATTAATAGGGTTTCCCCAATATAGTAACTTAAATTAAGTTCCTTAACAGCAACCCAGGCCAGGTTGGCAGATGGAGACACACAGGGCCACTGTACTTGCTGGCCCCTATTATCTCGCCACTAGCCATGTGACATGCAACAATCTCTTCCACTAGTCGCGTTGCCAGCTGAAGAATTTGCAGAAGGTGGATCCAAGACACCACTGAGGAGGGAGTGAGTTTGTAGATGGATGCCAGCTCTTCCTGATGTGCGGCAACTAATGGTCGTCAAGGCATGTGGGAAATGCTGCGCCGCTGCGCCTCCGCTCGGGACCTGGCATTCTGAAAATCTGGAAGCTCATAGAAACCTGCAGACGGGCAGGTCAAAGCGGCTGGACATCTTACGGGAACCAACTTGTGCATTGCGCGCAGGAACCACGCACCTTTCCCTGCATTGTCTGCGTCTTCCATGCAACCCAAACTGGAAGCGCAGAAGGCCACCACGAAAGGCACCACTCTGGGACACGGGTGGACTTCCTGCAACATGACTCTATTGAATGTGTCAGCATGCGCAAATCTGCCCATGCCACTTACCAGCTTATCCAAGATCCATTCTCAGGCCAGGCACGGACGGCTCCATTTCCATTGAAGCGCCATGCGCTTTCAATGCAGCTATCCAAATTTTGTCAGAGAACACCGGCAGCTTTCCTGTCTCACTGTCCTGCACGCTGCCCACAGATTACGGCACTGCTCTCATGCGTGCTCAGGCGTCCTATCAGTCGCTCAGCCATGCCAACACATGTTGCGAAGAATAAATGCAAGGGATACAACACTACTGTCGTGAGCACATTCAAGCCCTGAGGTTATGATGGCTGAGCTCTAGGAGGTATAACGAGTGGTGTGCGCAGATCACCGAATCATGTTCTCGAAGCGCAGTAGCCAGACAAGCGGGCTCGGCGCAGCAGAAGAATCATCAGTCCTCCGTGTCCACTCGGTTGCCTGCGGGATCTTCGAGGTAGCATCAGACTGTTAGCTTCCATCACTCATGCCCCACAGCCGCAAAAATGAATGAGATGAAGGGAGCATGCTTCGCACCACACCAACCCGAACCGGAAGAAGGCTCCTGCAAAGGAGCACTGCAGCTCGGCAAAGCGCTCCCTCTCGCTGGTAGTGCCGTTCTCGAGAACGCTTTTCAAGTCCTCCGCGCATGGCAGGTTCTCATGCATATCCCACGAGGTTGCCTACTTGCTGCGCACATCACTGAACATTGCGCCGTTCGCACTTGAAATATTAGGTCAACTGGCCCACGCACGACGTATGCCCATGTCGAGGGTCCGCAAATGCAAGAGGTCAGATCAACAGGCAACATGAGTCATATACGTACCAGGATCGCTTTGCAGAAGTTTCTGTGTTGAAGCATGGAACACAAAAGTATTTTCTGCGATGCAATCGCTGATTCCACGCTTGGTCAGAAGGTCTAGCTAAGCGCTCAAGTCAAGGACTGAGGAAAATGGAGAGCATGCATCCGAAGCAGAGGCACTCAGCCGTCCCTCTCTACACTCAGGACGCCATCAATGCCCTGCAACATCGTTTGCCCATCTTCCACACTCATCGAAGATCCGTCCAGCTGAACACAGAGAATGTCACCACCAAACATGGACTGGACATCCGAAACAGCTGCAGCTGCTCGAATCTTCTGTGCAGCATCATCTCTTTTGGCCGCGTCAAGGGTCAGTAGGAACTTGGTCCCACCAGATTTGGGTGGGGCCGCCTCACTGCAAGAGAAGGTGACTGGCAAATCGCATTTCTTCAGACGCACAATGTGGTGCGGCTGGGTCAGAGCCATCGTGCACATTGCCCCGGGTGGCGGTGAAGTAGTTTCATAGACGACTCGCAGGTTCCCGCTCGATTGCTCAATGCTTTGAATGCCCACCGAATGCCCACCGCTGCTGCACTGACCACGGAATACGCAAATCACCATGTCCGCATCGAAGGATATGTCAGGCAAAGGAGGTGGCGGGGATTGGTTGGACGTATGCTTCTCCCAGAAACTGGACCACTCCTCCTTCGAGGTGATGGCAGCTTCAGTAGCCTCTCCCATACCTGAGTTGCCCTTAAGGAGCTCAAGTTAGGTTACCATAATATGGGTATATATTGGGTACCGTCCCCCGCCTCAGTAACAGTCTATATTAGGGGTCCTATTAAGGGCTATATATAACCATGTTATAATTATTATCCAACTATTACTGAGGGGGGGCAGTGCTGAAGGTATATAGTAAATAAAGGTTTTACTTATTACGTATAGTAACCCTAAACCCTATATACCATTTCATAGTAATAAACGGCTTTACTTACTATGCATAGTGACCCTGAACCCTATATACCATTTCATAGTACCTTGCTTTAAGCTCCTAAACCCTAAACCCTAAACCCTAACCGCAACTCAGATACCCGAGCTCTGTCCCTGCTGGAGCGTATCAAAGCTCTGGGCCATGGCTGCGCTCAACTTTAAAGACCCTTGGAACCTAAACAGCTGCGGCTGACCTAAGGTTTAGGGCTTCAGGTTTAGGGTCTAGGTTTAGGGTTTTGGCATATAGGAGTTAGGTGGGGATACATAGATATATATGTACATATATATAGTGCCCCATTTATGGAGATTCAAACGGAAAAGAAAATGGGAAATACCATAGAAACTAGGATGATGTAGGGATTTAGGTTTTGGGGCCTAGTAGGCGCATGACGATACACTAGTGTTATCTGCACTAGCAACCGTAGCGGGTCGATGTTATAGCCTGCTTAACTTGAGTTCTTTGCTACCTACAACCCTCTCAATCCTAGAGACAAAATCCACTTTCTATTTCACAGTCCACTGTCGTTGCTGTCGGACTCTCCATTATAGTACTTTCCATTTTCTCTTCCTAGGATAAACCCTACACCCAAAACTCTTGGGTGCTCACATGAGCACTAGTCTAAACCCCTAGTATCCCCCCATTCCCCTATATAATCCCCTACATAACCCCTTTCAAGGACTTTAGACTATAAAGCCCTAAACCCTAAACCCTACACCCTAAACCCTAAACCCTGATTGTTCACATGGAAGGTCCTCAGAGTCCAGGTCCCCAAGCCCCTTCTCAAGGCAACTGCCTTTCGAAGAGCACGCCAAGGCATCCATCAGCTCATCCTGGCTGGGTGCTTTTCATATGCGCATACATGAATATATATGTATATATTATTCTGTATAGTATATATGTTATATATATTATATTATACTATATTATATTATATATATTCTATTATATTATACATGTGTATGTATATATGTATGTATGTATGTATGTATGTAGGGGTAATAATATATGAGCTATGTAGTCTAACCTCCTAGTATACCCCTTAATAACCCCTATGGTAGTCCCCTATATAAACCCCTATATAACCCCCTTCAAGGAGTTTAGACTACAGCTCATATGGGGTTATGGAGTGGGTTGCAGAAGTTTCCGGTGGTCCTTGTTGAGCTGCTTTCTAGGAAGGTTGCTAGCTGCTTGCATCGTCTGGCACTTCAAAAAAAATTCTGACCTGCAGTGACCTCTTCTGTTGGGGATCCTTGCGTCTTGCCAAGGCGCATATTTGTAGCCCAAGTCGATGGAGCCCGGGGTGCCCTCTGCGTTGTGGATCAGCGGCCACCACTTCTGGGACAAAGCTCCTGCTGCAAGTCACAAGCTGACAATCAATTATAGTAGTTTCCATTTTCTTTGCCGTTATCCTTATATAAACCCCAATATAACCCATTATAGTAGTTTCCATTTTCTTTTCCACTATCCCTATATAAACCCCAGTATAACCCATTATAGTACTTTCCATTTTCTTTTCCATTATCCGTATATAGCCCCAGTATAAGCCTTATATCTTTGTTTTGCGAATGCCTTCGGCCCTAGTCCTTGCATCAGTCGCTGGAAGGTCCGCGCCGTACAGGCCGCAAGCGGCTGCTCGTGTGTGCAGATGTCCAAATACCTTGGCCAACAATTCGGCTGCTTGGAGGTCCATTGTACTTATAACCTACTTAGTAACTGTAGTTATAACCTAATTATATCTAGGGTAACTATAGTTATGGGACTTATATTTAGGTTATAACTACAGTTACTAAGTAATTTATAAGTACAACGGACCTCCAAGTGGCCAGGCCTATCGCCTAATAACTACTATAGTATATTGGGCTTATATAGGGATACTGGAAAAGAAAATGGAAACTACTGTAGTATATTGGGTTATGTAGGGAATTATATTGGGATTCATTCAGGGAAACCCAGCAGAAGGCCATTAAGCAGTTTCAACAGACCCCCGTGAGCTGCGAGGCTCCAGAATCACGGGGTTTTTCTGAACTTTAGAAGCCTCCCCACTCTGGTCCAAGTGGTTCCTTCAGGGAACTGCTTCTAAAAGATCCTTGAGGGTTTAGGGTTTAGGGTTCCTCTAGCCTCTAATTGATGCTTTCGCAGCGCCACGCATGGCCCATGGCTTCAGCCCTGCTCAATCACCATACCACTCACCACACCGGCAACTACCAGAACTTCCAAAATTTGGGATCCCTTTCCACATCCTTACAGTAGTTCATATCATATCTCTGCGGAGGCAGGGAGGACCCTACTTCTCAGAAACCCCCTGCATGGGGTAGTTTCCTTCAATAGGCGGACTCCAATATAGACCTCAACATACGATAATCCTAATCATAACCACACCAAAAAGGTACCCCTAGCTTCGGGAAACCCTACACCCTAATCCCCAAATCCTATATACCCTTACAAAGTATCCCCTATAACCCTTTTAACAACGACCCAAAACCCTGAACCCGAAACCCTAAACCCTAACCATAGTCTCCGGCGAGACACGGTTGCCGTGCATCGCGGACGGCTTCCAGGCAGCGCTCAACGTGGACGTCCTCCATGTGGCCACCTGCGCTATGCTTAGGAGTTTAGGGTTTAGGGTTTTAAGGTTTTAAAGTTTTAAGGTTTAAGATTACAATACGATGCCCCCCAAAGCACGCCCCCCAAGACTTGGAACCCTATTTCTTAAGCCTTATTGAACCCTAAAAAATCGGGGGGGGAGGGGGGGGGGGCGTACCTGTACTGGACGGCCTGCTGCGGCTCCTGGAATCCTGATGTAACCCCCCTTGTGCCCTGTTTCCATTGCAGCTGACATGACCTTTTTCATGTGATACTCCAATGTTGCGAAAATATCCCTAAATTTGAGAAAGTCTACATTACATGAATCCCCTCTCACGTGCTTATACCCACCTATACCCCCTACAGTACAGAACCCCGCAACCCTAAATCCTAAACCCCAACCCGGTTAGCGCACCTGTTGGAACTGCAACAATGGAGATCTCCGGGACCAAGGCGTGCAAGGCACCGATGAGATTGCCGATTACAGCCTCACGTGAGCCATCGTCTAAAACTCCTTATATCCCCCTAAACAAGCCCCATAATTTAGGGTTTGAGGTTTTAAGGTATAGGGTCTAAACTCCTAGTATCCCCCATTAAGGTTTAGGGTTTAGGGTCTAAACTCCTAGCATACTCCAAAATAAGCCCTACAATATTCCCACATATAGTCCCCTGAATAACCCCAAGGAGTTTAGACTATGGCTCGCGCGGCAACAAGGCTGGTCTAGGCTTTAACCATGCATTCCCTGCTCAACCTCTTTGTCTGCGACACAGCCAAGTCCGACAATTGCAAACCACATGAGCCATTGTCTAAACTCCTAGTATCCCCCTTGATAACCCCTATAGTAGTCCCCTATATAACCCCCTTTAAGGAGTTTAGGCCATGGCTCACATGGTGCTACTTGTGCCGGTTCCCATCAGATCTTTCCGCCCAGGCACATGCAAAATAGCACTCCTCAGTTGCACCGATACACGGTTTAGGGTTTAGGGTTTAGGGCTCCAAGCACTGTCCACATGACTGCGGGCGCCACAGCCCTCTGCAATTCCAACCAAGCAGCATGAGATCTGGGAAGGTAATATATAGCGTCAACCCGAGAACTTTGGATTCCATCGACGCTTGCCTCAGCGCTTGGTCTTTGCATTGAACCTGTGGGATTTCCATCTGTGCGGAACTTGTGCGGGATTCTGTTTCAGACCTGTTGTTGGCTAAAGGTTGAAGACTTTGAACCCCCTACCAGCATTCCAAATTGCCAAAGAAAGTGCGACTGGAAAAGCACAAAAGGGAACAAGCTGCCAGACATGACAATCCTCAAAAAAACAGAAGCCACACAATGACAACAATTGTAGCAGTCATGGGCGTGGAAGTTATAACCAGATCAACTGAAGAACGCTGTGAAAACCCAAAGTTGAACTCTCAAGCAAGATAGACATTCATCGCCGTCATGAGAATCAAGACAGCAGTGTCAGTGCATCATGAATGCTACTCCTACTTATGGCAGCAATGCCAAGCATACAACAACAGTTAGACATGGCCATGGGGATGCAAATCTTCTCCATGGCAGTAGCACCATAGCAGTGGTCACTGTCACCATACGGTCACGAATACTACCAATTCTCATGCCAATGCTTACAACTGATGACCCTAACAAGCAGAAAAATGGAGGAAAGAATTAAAATGAGACCTACAACCCTTTTGATGGTACTTATTAGGGGGTTAATTAGGTCCTGCCCCCACCCAGCAACAGTTGGACAATTTTTTTTACAGCTATATATAGCCCTCAATATTACCCCTATGATAGGCTGTTACTGGGTGGGGGCAGGACCCAAGGGATTAATGGAATCAATGATTCAGGCATCACTGGGCTTGGCTTGGCTTCCGGAGGCCACAGCCCACAGGTCAGAATCAAAACCTACAGATCAACCCAACAAACGCAAAAAACTAATGTAGACCCATGATTAATCAACCCCCTCCTTTTAACCCTATTAAGGGGAGGGAGTTTATTAATCAGGGGTCTGGGTTACCACTTAAGATGCAAAAGCATCCAGCTTCGGACACACATGTATCCAACAGCGCGGTCTTCGGACATGGTTTGAGGAGTCGATGCTTAGGGAACCAGTGGCGTAGCAATGTGCAAGGCCACCCCGTCAAAACAAGCGCAGCCGGGGCGCATAACCTCTTGGCAGTCCTCGTTGTTCAGCATTGTGGGAAGCTGCTGTTCCAGCTTCCGCCTAATGCAAGTACAGCACAAGCTATCGCTTATCTCTGGATCCACTCTACTCCTACCCTGCAGTGGAACCGGACGGGGTGGCACCCCTTGATTTGCAAAGCACCTGGGTGTGAGCTTTATACGAAGTACTCCTTCTGCAGTGCAGTACCCGGTACAAGGTTACCGATCTGGCTTGTCCAGACGAATGGGATCGCACACCTCAAAAGCATCGCCCTCCGTCATCCTCCACAAGAAAGCGACACTGCCATTAAATCATCATTGGTTGTATTGGAGATTTGCTGGTCAAGGTTGCAGTTGGACCTTCGAGCACTACTGCAACACTTTGGATTTTATCCACCGACATGCCTTAAAACAAGCCACTTGCTTGCCATCACCCGTGTCTACTTGCAAGCCGCGTGTGACTACGTCCCAAACCATTTGACAGCTGACATGAAATAACATGCCTAGAGATCGGCACTCACCAAGCACTCCCTCTCAAGCAAAGACGAAGCAAAAGCAGAAAGTCATCTGATTTCATCTCTAGGGATTGGGGGGGCTTGGGGTTGCTCAAAGGTGCTGTCATGGTCATGAACAAATCTACATTCGTCCAAGTCACCGATTCGCAGCAGCTTTTGCCATGAATTCTTGCTGGGCTGTGCGCAAGGTTGCCTGCAAAGAGACAAACTTGTACAGGGGTTATATAGGTTTCCTGCTGGCGACAAGCCCCTCAGGGTCCTAAAGTCCAAGTGGTGGGAGGCAGCGCAGCAGTTGCTTCAGGCTTGCTGGGACAGGTGAAGGTGCTGCGCAGGTGTCCTGCTCGTTCTTCTCCATCTCGTCAAGCTTGCTCTGCCTAGCCATTACAAGCCAGCACATGACCCCGGATGACATCATGACACATGCGACAACCGCCAGAAAGGCGCAGCAGCGCCATGTGTTCGTCGACAGCAGCAGCTGGCTTGTTCTTCAAGTGCTTGGTGAGGTGCTCCTGTTTTCACCCTAGTCTCGTGACATAGGTTTATACAGGAGGCTGATAGTGTCATGTAGGGCTATTATAAGGTTACGGTCTCCTCCACGAGCCGCTCATGCTTTACCTGGGTTGCCGTTAACGAACTTAAATCAAGTTACTATCACAAGGACACCTACTATTTACTATACACCCACGTTATGGTAACCCTAACCCATAAACCCGATATTCTGGAAACTTAAAATAGATTCCTTAACAACGACCCAGTCACGGCTTCTGCATCCACAGCTTCAACCTTCTCCAGCTCCATCTCCTGTTCGTTGGACTTGCGTCAACTGGCTGATGAGCAACCAACTAATTAATTCCCATATATAACTCTATATATGTATAACCTATATATACATATATCAACCTATATATCCCCCGTAATAGAGTGGCTTGCATTCCATTTTCCGTTATCCTGAACCCCTAAACCCTAAACCCTGACCCCCTAATCTCACCTAAACCCCGAGACCCCTAGACCCTAAACCTCTAATCTCCCCTAAACCCCGAAACCTCTAAACCTCTAATCCCCCCAAAACCCTACGCCGTAAACCGTAAACCCCTAAGCTCCCCAAAACCCTAAACCCGTAATCTCCCCAAAACCCCCAAAACCCCTCAGCTCCCCTAAACCCTTACACCCCTCATCTCCCCAAAACCCTAAACAAGCAGGACAACATTCGAAGGCCCTCCCAGGGCCTCAGAATCCTCGGAGACTTGCAGAACGCTGGCGCCAGGCTCTGGGAAATAGCCTAAATGAATGTAGAGTTTAGGGCTTAGGGAAGATTAGGTGCTTAGGGCTTAGGATTTAGTTCTTTAAAGAGCCAGCGGACTGTTTAGGGTTTAGGGGAGATTAGGGGTTTTACGCTGTAGGGTTTAGGGTTTTGGATTTGAGGTTTAGGGCTTGGGGGAGATTAGGAGTTTGGGATTTAGGTTTTAGGGTGTAGGGTTAATTCGGGGCTTAGCTAGGTTGTCGGTTTTAGGTGTCGGGTTGTGGTTTTCGTTTTTGGTTTGAAATTTCGGTTTTCGGTTTTGTGTTTCGGTTTTCTGTGTTGATTTTGGGTTTTTGTGTTTCAGTGAGACATGAGCCCAGAGTTACATTGGGAATTCCTGGATGGCTGTTGAGGAACTGAAGTCAAGTTACCATCATTTGGGTATATAGTACATAATCGGGTTTCCTTATTATCTAACTTAATTTGAGCTAACCCTAAACCCTAAACCCTAACCCAGTGAAGGAAGTTTCCAGGTGGGTAGTTACCACGCGGGTATCCTTACATAAGGCTTACGCAGGGCTTAAACTATATGAGGCCTATGAAGGGCTTACAATCCCCCTGAAGTAGATAGAATATGGTTTTTGGGTATATCATAATAGGAACCCCATATACTGTATGTGGGAGAAACTACCCACCTGGAACTTCCTTACTTGGAGGCCCATGGGACTCATTAACTACTTATAATTGGGATTATAACCCTACTTCTAATCCCGTTAAATGGCCTTATAGGGGTTACCCCATTTATAAGTAGGGTTATAATCCCAGTTATAAGTATTTACTAAATCCCATGGGCCTCCAAGTAGACTCAAGCTCGAGGCACGCTGGCTCCGTAAGCAATGCAAGTCTCCTGCCTCACTCTTGGAATCTCTGACTCATCTCACTCTCTATACCTCATCTCTCTTCTGCGCTGCTATCCTTCTGCGCTGAGCTTCACTGGCTCCAGCGCACACTTGTCCTGCCCATACGGTAGTTTCCATAATAGGGGTACCCAATATAGACCCCAAAAAAGGAATTGTAAAGCTTCTTATAGGGACTCTTGAGATCAACCCCTATATACTCCCCTATATGATCCCCTTTAAGTCGTCTAGATTATGGCTCATGTGCGTGGCCCAAGAGGCTGTTTATGCGCTTCTTCATCGCTTTGCGGACTCTTGAAGATGCATAGGAATAGCCTTGGGAGATGGCGGAAACCAGCATCAAGCACGTTGCATCTTTCCAGGGGGGCTGTAAATCAAACTGCGTGCCAAGGGTTTTGGGTTGAGGGTTTAGGGTTTAGGGCCAAGCATTCTTTCTGTCAAGCTTCCGAAGAGTTTCCGCTTGATTTTGCTAAGCTTGCCGACAACCTTCTTCATAGCAGACTTCAATTTGCGCCAAAGCTCTCGCACCTCTGAGGGCAGGAAGCAGATCTGGATGACCCTAGATAACTCTTTATGGCTCTAAATGTAATCCGAAAAGCCATATGTAACGCTATAAGCCACCCATATAGCCCTATAGAACCCATATACATATATATATATATATCCGTATATATCTCTACATAACCCTAGTGGTAAATCATGCTAGCCACTAGTGGGAAATCCCGTTAGCCACTGGTTGGAAATCAGCAAAATTGGCCTTCGCGAAAGCGTTGCACACAGCACAGCGGCCACACACGGCCATCCTCAGCTGGCTGAAGAAGCAAAGGCAAACCCGTTCTACCCTATATAGGATCATACGAGCTACAGTCTGAACTCCTTAGAGGGGGAATTTGAGGATTTAGGGTTTAGGGTCTAACCCCCTTAAAACGGGGTGATATGGGATTACGTTGGGGAGTATTCTAACGGTTATTCAGAGAGATACTAGGAATCTAGAGTATGGATCATACAGGGTTATCCAGGGAGCTTACGCGTTATAGGGGGCGTACAGGGAAGACTCACGGGCTAATATGAGGTTATACTGCACGTAGAAAGCTGAAGACTTATAGGAGTTGTTGGGCACCCCGCGCTATCATCAAAAACTATGCTCAGGTGATGGTACTCCTCATCATTCAGGCTCCAATAGGGCTTTAAGTTTACGATTCAGGGGTTAGGGCTTAAGGTTTAGGGTCTAGCGTGTAGAGTCTTAGGCATGTATGGCTTGGTTTCTGCAGCCTGGTGTCTGCTGCAGGAAGGCCACTGGTAGGCCCAGCCAGCTTGCTCTCTTCGACTGCTGGACATACTGCCTAAGTAGTCATGAGACTGGGGGGGTTTCCGAAAAGTAGGGGATATCTGTTGAGGATAATACTTTGGGGTCTATATGTGGGCCTCCCTATTGATGGAAACGAGTGATTCAACTCTCTTGTGTGACGAAATCATGGTCGTTTTCCGGCGTGTTGTATACAGGACCCTTGTGCTTTGCAGAAACTATCAGGGCGGACTTCGGCACATGTGTGATGTAGAAGCCTAAAGAAAGCCGCTATTTGAAGTCTATTTTGGGGCATCCTATACCACAACTGTACAAGGAATCTCGGATCATAACATTGGTGAATATCAAGGCCTCTAAGTGGCTCTGTCTGCAAATCCCTTCCAGTTGAAACGCTCCTTCAACAAACCTCGAACCCAAACCTCTTAGAACCTGTACACACCCTTGTAATCAATGCTGTAATTCTCAAAGTCTACGCTACTCAGGCTCTCGCAGATTTTTAATATCAGCCCTAGAGACCTCATTCTACACCAAGTTCATACGTTGGCCCAATTGTATGGGGTTATAAACCCAGTTTCAAATAGTTACCAAGACCCGTGAACCCCCCTGTGTGTCCATATAGAGCCCTCCCGATGCATCCCCTACAACACTCCCATATATCCTTATACATCCCTGTATATCTCTAAACATCCCTCTCTCTCTATATCTATACCCTATACATCCCATGGTTATAAAAGAATATGTGTCTGTATATGCCTATATGAGCCATAATCTAAACTCCTAGTATCCCCCTTACTAACCCCTATAATCGTCCCTTATATAATCCCCTATCTAGCCCCCCTTTAAGGAGCTTAGACCCTACACCCTAAACCCTACATGTCCCTAAACCCTAAACCCTACATGTCCCTAAACCCTAAACCCTAAACCCTATACCCTAAACCCTACATGTCCACATATCATACTTGAACAGACAAGGCACTCCTGGCAGCTTTTCCGGTCGTTTGAGCTCAGGCCCTCTGCAGCCGCTCCGACGCCGCAGTCCTGCGCTCGACGGTTTAAGGTTTATATAGGGTTTAGGGTTTAGGGTTTAGGGGTTTGGGGTTTAGGGCTTAGGGTCTAAGATCTAGGCTTATGTACTGTTATGGAAGGGTATTGAGGGGCTTAGAGGCTGAAGGAGGGACATGGAGAAAGAACATGGAAATGAAATGGAGACTGGTATAGTCCCCCTTAAGTAGATAGAATATGGCTTTGCGCATATTACACTATAACAAGATGCCTAAATACCCCACATTCTATCTACTTAAGGGAGGCTATAGGCTACAGGGATTCAGGGTTCATTGGCAAGGTAGGGACCGAAAACTTGGGTTGTTCCCTTCTTGAGTCCTGCATGAAACCACACTTTCTGAAACACGCCCGGAACGATATTAGGGTTTAGGGTTTAGGTAATTCCATACACCCTAAACCTGATCCCTGCTGCAGTTGCTATTGATGAAAAAGCTGCTGTCAGTGGGCGTCCATAACGAGCATGCAATAGATACGCATGGTGGAACCTAATCTTTTAGTCATTGCAATGACAGGCTAGTTGAAAAAACTGTTGTGAACATTGCTAAAACAAAGACTAAAAATCACCAAAAAAAATAAGAACAATAAAAACGTAATGAGAATAAAAATGAGAATTGCAAGCAATAACAGAAATGAGAGAGATTTTATGGAAACAGCCCTAAACCCTAAACCCTAAACCTTAAACCCTAAACCCTACTTTAGGCTTTATGGAAACAGCCTGGACAGCGCTCCAGTCCTCATCTAGCAGGGCGTCATCAACCTCACGGACGTATCCAGCAGGCCAACAACACGAAAACCACAGCAACTGGCTGGGCCTGCTTCGCGGCGCCTGGGCCCCAGTCAAGCCTGGGGTTGGGCAGGCAGACCTCAACTCTGACATAACAAGTTGAGGGTTTATATAGGGTTTATATGGGATTATAAAGAGCTTTTGTGGGACTATATAAGGGCTTGGGGTTTAGGGTTGAGGGTTTAGGTTCGGGGTTTTGGGTTCAGGGTTTAGGGTAGAGGGTTTAGGGCTTAGGGTTTGGGGTTGAGGGTTTAGGGCTTGGTGTTTAGGGTTCAGGGTTTAGGGCTCAGGGCTTGGGGTTTGGGGTTGAGGGTTTAGGGCTTGGGGTTTAGGGTTCAGGGTTTAGGGTTCAGGGTTTGGGGTTGAGGGTTGAGGGTTTAGGGTTTTTCGGTTGAGGCTTTAGGGTAGTCATACCATCGCATGGGTAGCCCTAAGTGGGAAGGGATTTAAAGAATAGAAAAGCTACAGCCATGCTACTTCGAATCCTACTTG